CTTCCCCAGCAGGCATGAATTTCTGCTCTCTGCCTCTTAGCCCCAGTGGTCATGGGGGGCACTTGTATGAGCTTGATAGGCTGGTCTGGGGCTGGAACCCTTCCCTGGGGAGGAAGGGATCTGCTGGGCTTGGGCATTAGGGGTTGGGTGTGTACCCAGCCAGCTTCCCCATGGCAGTATGAAGGGTCTGCTACTCCTTAGTGGTCCTGGACAGCACCTGCCCTCACTGCTGCACTGAGGAAGGTCTTCCTCTGACCTCCTACTTAAGCTCTGCCTCCTCAGCTTTCCGTAATGCCCTCTATAACCCCCCGTTCCCTGTCCACCTCAGACACAGGCTCAGGCTGAGTACTGTGAGGGATCAAAGGTGATCAAAAGGGATCAAGACTGCTTCTGGTATGAAGGGGGTGGGGACCTGAAAGTAGGAGGGGGTCTGAGTGGAGGATGGGCCTGGGCGGTCCTGTGGCTGGGAAGTTCCAGCTGCTGGTCACTTGCCTGGGTTGCTCTGGAGGCTCTACGCCTTAGGACTCTGCTCGCCTGGCTTCACCAGGGCCCGTTTTGCCTGGGCACAGTGTCTGCTCACACATCAGGTACGTCCCAGGCAGGCGGGGTTAGGAGGTATGAGGGTGCTTTGGGACAGTGGGCAGGGGCTCACGGGGCTGAGACTATCTTGGCGCTGTTGGTGGCTTTTCTGGTCAAGGGCCTGAGCTTCAAGCCTAGGCTGGCTGAGCTGGATTGCTGGCACAGTCACAGAAGACACACAAATGCACTCCAATACATAGATAGCCACACACACTTGCAGAAAAAAGACAGATCTGAGGCACGCAGACTCAGAGGGACACACATAGAACAGAACAGTCACACACACACAGGGAGACTCTTGGGTCAGCACGCCTACATGCAAATCTAATGCACACATAAGACATACTATAGACTCACACTCACATCAGATCCACTTTATCTATTTATTTTTTGAGCACCGACTACTTATGAGTGGTCTTTGGGCTGGGCCGGGCTCATTCCCTGCTGCAGGGAACTCTAGGTCAAATGGCAGAGACATCTCAGACCATGTTAACTATCCTTTAGTTATAGGAAAAGGCAGGCTGGGGCTAGACCCAGAAAAAGATGTGCTTGACTTTTCTGGGGCACAGAGGGAAGGCTTGTCAGAGGAAGACCCCTGAGGAGGGGACAGCTGGAGAATGCAGAGCTGAGGCCATGGCCAGCTGCGAGAGCAGTCTGGACAAAGGCATGGAGGGAAGGGTGAGTTCTGAGTGGACGGAGGGGGCAAGAGAGTGGGGATAATAAAGGCTTGGGTGCCAAGCTAAGGAGAACTCTATACTTCTGTGGGCAATGACAGTCCAGGACTGTTTATATTTTGGCTATTGTGAAGGGAGCCCATGTCTTTTTAAAATGGGTTTGGTGCACGCCTTTAGTCTCAACACTCAAGAGGCAGAGACAGGCAGATCTCTGTGAGTTTGAGGCCAGCCTGGTCTACATAGTGAGTTCCAGAACAGCTGGGGCTACAGGGAGTCCCTGTCTCAAAAAGACAGGAAAAAAATAAATAAAATGGGTTTGGCTGGGCATAGCACAGCTACTGGTTGTATTTGCAAAATCAACATGTGAAATTCACTAAACTACTTTGTTAAGGAGCCTGGGATATTCTAAGTAGATAATTATATGCTCAATGAAAGGGACAGTTTTATCTGTTTTTCTCTAGTATTTACAGTTCTTGCTGATATTTCTTGCTTGTTGCCTTAAGTAATTTTTGTAGTTAGACATTGAGGAGGAGGATTAAGACCGTCTCTCCTCAGCCTGTTCCTTATTTCAGGACTCTGAAAAGACTCTTAGTTTGCAAGGAAAGCTTTCAAGGCAGGCTTGGGTTGTCAGCAAGGCTCCCCTGACTGCCCTAAGGGTGTGATATATGGGAATCAGGAATCAGGTAGGAGAGCAGAGAGAGGGGGCTGCAATCAGGTGGTAGTAGCTGATACACGTGGAAGCCAGAGTTCCACAGCTGGCCTGCAGTGGCTATTCCTGGAGCTATAAAGGATGAGGGATGGTCCAGTCCTAGGGTAGGTGAGGGGAGTGTGTGTGTAGAGAGCTCTGGAGGAAAACTGGGAGGTGGGAGCTGCTACAGGAGGCAAGGACTGCGAACATGGGATGGAAGCAAGGCTGGAGGTAGCGAGGGTGAAGTCTGGATCTGAGCTCTGGTCACATGGTGGCTTTTTCTGCCCCTGTCAATGGTCCTACAGTTGGTGGGGTAGCCTGACTGGAAAGAGGGAGTCCCTGGGTCTTCAGGACACTGGAGCTCTGTCAGTGCCAAGCCCTAGTCAGAGAGCAGCTGCAAAGGGGATAGGATACAGAGCTCCAGGGAGAGGCCTTGTGCACATGGAGGGCAGGCCTAGGAGTCAAGGATTCAAGGATGAAATGATGGGGTCTTGCACAGAGTAGAAATCCAATTCTTTTCATAGAAATAACTGTACCCTTTTTATGTTTCTGATTTTGAGAGACAAGATTGGGACTTCACTAACTGCTTGTGTGAGAGATGAGGAGGCAGCAGCCTGGGGAGAGGCAGCCCTCACCCTTCTCAACTGTGCTCTAGGGCAACAGGGAGGGGAAATGGACAGAGACTCTCAGGTCTTAGAAGAGGCCACATCACTGTAGGGACAGTCCTGAGGGGCCGCTGAGCAGACAGATGGCAAAACTGAGGACTCCTTGGAGGTGGTGGACCCCTTGGGTTCTGAAAACCAGGTCAGATTTAGGGACCAAAAAGAGAAGTCAGGAAGGGGCACAGCCTGAAGGGGGAGAGGCCCAAAGGCTGCACCCACAGAGGGATGGAGAGAGGTCCATGGGCTAGATGGGGTATGTGTTACCCATGTACTCCAGGGTTGATGCAGAGAAAGAGGAGCCTAGGAAGGGAGGGCTTTTAATGCCATGCTGTGAGTCTTGGGCAGTGGGGGGCATGGAGTGGTTTAAAGCAGGGAAATGTCCCTTTTGGATTGAAGAAGGTCAAGGATGGTTTGAGAAGTTGCTGAAAGCTACAGTCAAAAGTGGTATGGCTACAGACAGAGAGGCCCTTCGGCGCAGGCCTGGTTTAGTATGAGAATGGCTAAGCAGCCTCAGTGAGCCCCAACTCTATACCTACGTAAGCTGTCATAAGACTCACTTGCCAAGGTGCCCCTCCTTACCTAGAACTTGCCCCCAGGCTCCCTTGGCAAGGACTGCCAAGTCTGACCCCATCTTTAGGTCCCCTATAGGGGAAAGAGCTCCTAGGGCAGCATCCAACACTCCAGTGAGCCTCTGGCGCCTCATCTGTGAAAAGGGGCAGACACTCTCCAACTTTGTTGTTATGGGATTCTGATCTGTGTCAGTACTGGTCTGGACACACAGTTGGTGCTTACTAAAGGTGAACTCTTCCCCAGCCAAGGCTGGACCCACCTTGTCCTTTCCCAACACCCCTGTGTCAGGGAACCCAAAGAACCCAGCAGGAGCAGGTGTAGTCTGGGCAAAAACCTGCTCTGTACCACATTCTGTCCTACAAGTGCTATGTCCCATACCAGGCACTGAAGGGCACCAGGGAAGGAGAGGGAAGTCAGCTAGCCTCTGCTATAGGTGGATCAGATCTGTGTGATGGGGTCCTTGAACTCTGAGGCTAGGGCAGGATGATGACCTGTGGCCAGGGTGGGGTTGATAATCACCTGAGCCTGTCACCTTGCCCTGGGCCACCTTGCAGCTGCTTGTGGCCTCTGGCACTCAAGAAAGGTAACTTGGACTACTCAGCTGACTGGACAGACACCTTGCTAGAGGGCTATGGCTGAGGGGCTGGGCCCTGCCCAGCATGCAGTCAGTCTACCCCAGACAAATGGAGTCCCAGGGAAGGACAGTTCCTTCCTAACTCAACCAGGAGTTTGGCCCTGGCTTCTGCTTGGGTTTGTCCTGGTGTTTGATGCCATCAGGAGCCCTGAGGAAGGCTGGGAGCTGTGCTTCTGGTTGGTCTAGTCCTGTTGGTTAACTTTCAGCAGGGGTGAAGGGAGAGCTTGCTGTCCCAATACCCTCCCCCACCCCATATCTGGCTTGCACAATGTGGTGGGAAGGAGGTTCCAGCGGCCAGCAAGGCTGTCTCTTCTCTCCCACCCCCAGCTAAACATAGGCCAAAAAAGCAAACAGCCAGCCTTTGCTCACTGGAAGGGGATGAAATGCAGTGGTGCCTAGCAAGAGCCCAGGGAGTGTCTCCCATGCCCTTGAGACCCCAACCTTACTCCCTGTGGTGAAGGTCCCAGTGTGTAGAAGGGGAGATGGAGTTGGTGGGAAAGTATTGGGATTACCCAGCCCTGGGTGGGGGTGGGAGGTAGGGGGTTAAATATAGATATAAGACCCTTCCTGCCGCCTTCCCTTTGGTCTGTGTGGTGATGATAAGCAGAAGAGCCACTAGGCCTGGGTCCTAGTGCACCACTGTGCCATCTTCCAGCTCCAAGGTACCTAGGGGATGCTTCCTAATGGGGTCCCTGCCCTCCTTTCTGAACAGAAGCAGTCCTGCCTTCTGTGCTGAAAGAGGGTATGCCAAGGCCCCTGGGTGGGTTAAAGAAGACTGCTGGAAGAGATGAGGGTAGGGTTAGGCCTTAGAATCTGAAGTCCCAGAAGCCTAGGATGTGGTTACTGGGCCCTGCCCTTGTGGGCTGTGGGTTGGGTTTGTCCCCTGAATCTACATGTCCAACATGCCCTCTAATTCAGTAAAAGGTAGGCACTTGGCAGAGATCCTCCTCAGGGCTGGCACCAGGGAAGGGATCTTGATGGTAGTAGTTCGCATCTCAGCAGCAGCTGTGGCCTGGCATGCAGAAGGCTCTGGCCAACACAGTTGCTTTTCTATAGGCCAGATTAAGCCTTCCTATACCAAACCCCTGGGCCTGACCAAGCCCCAGAGTCCAAGGTCCTGTGTCACTTCCTGGGATGGGCACCCTCCAGACCTCTTGAGCCTCCTTCTCACCCTTAGCTCCCTTCCTGCTAAGATGTCGTTGCCACGAACAATGACCCTGGGGCCAGAGCTGCAAAGCTCCAAGGAGCCTGGTGAGCCACAAAGCCCAACTCAGGGCACTCGGTGGTCTGGCAGTGTGGAAGAGCCCAACACTCACCAGGAGGATACTACGATGCCTGGTGAGAGCAACCTGAACCCGTCTTTCTTCCGGACCAGCTTGCAAGCCTCAATCCGTGCCTCCAAGGGGGCAACAAACCTGCTCAGGCGAAGCTCCCACTCACTGTTTCGGTCCTTGCGACGCACCAAGGATGCAGGCCTCACTGATGGCCACCCCCAAGTCACTCCTATGCCAGAGGAGCCCTCCAGGGTCACAGATGGTGTCAGCCGAGAGGCATCTACTGGGGAGGATCTGGAACCCCAAGCAGGTAAGAGCATCATACAATTCTAGGGGGAAACTGAGACCAGGGGTGTCCTGACCAGTTCTCCTTGAGGCTCAACTTGCTCAGACTGTGCCTTCAGCACAATTGCCCTCCAAATCTTTGTGGTATCTTAAAGGGAGCTTCCCTCCCCTAACACACACACGCACGCACGCACGCACACACACACACACACACACACACAAACACACACGGTGAACAAGAACCTCTAGTGGCTTGCTCCAAGTTCTCACAGATTGACAGTAGAGACGTTGGATTTGAACCCAGATTCCTGTGACTGTAGAACAGTAACACATCTATGGCCTTTCACAGCATGGTCCTGACCAAACTTGGCCTAAACACAAGGGACTGATCCTCTCTGATCACAGGGTCACAGAGATTCACAGAAGCTGCCATATCCCGGCGGGGCAGCTGGGGGTTGTGTCGGGGTAATTGCTCCTAGGAAGACAAATTGGGCTTGGGCTCTGAAAGGAAGATCCTGGAACATGAGGCTGGCAGAGAGCAGAAAGGCTGACTCTTCGCATCGGTACATGAGGCTGGGCACTGCCAGGACACACCCAGCCTGAGCTCTGACTCTATTAGACCTGCGATTACAGCTGCACAGGAGGCCAGCAGGGCCAGCCAAGCAGAGATGGGAGTGAAGATGGGGGCGAGGGCTGGGAGCAAGGTAGAAGGTACCATACTGCTGGGAGCTAACCCAAATGGCTCCTTTCAGCTGGGTTTGTGGCCCTGGCTCTGCGATTATAAGTGAGAGAACTACTGGCTGGTGGAGCAGGAGTTCAGTTTGGGCCCAGGGCATCGGGGCAGGAGTCAGATAGCCCAGTCCAAGGCTCTGGGTGCCACCTCCAGGCCTTGGTTTGCATCAGGAACCTGGGTTGGCCCGTCTCACAGCCTCTCTTACCCACGATTGCAGAAGGCAAATCCGTGGCGGACCTCATCACTGAGCGGCAACTGCTGGAGGCCTTCGAACGGCTGCGGCGCCTGGAGACCAAGCTGGTGGAGGAGAAAGCCTCACGCACCTTTGAGCAGGACCCCACCGCCTATGCACGGCGCGCTATGGACCTGTGCCTGCACTACGACGGACTGGCGGCTGAGATAAGCGCTATTGTGCGCGAGACGCTGGGGTCGGATAGCATGGATTCAGCCACTCTCGCAGAACTGGCCCACGTGGTGCGCGCGGAAGAGGAGGCCCACCCGGCTCTGCCAGACGACGGTGACTTTCTGACGACGCCCCGCCACTGGCGTCAGCACTGGGAGGACGCGGTGCGGCGGAGCGCGCAGGAGCGCGTGCAGAAGGCAGGCGCAGGGGTGACATCCCGGGCTGCGGAGGGCGCGTCGGACTTAGCCCAGCTTCTGGCTGAGCTTAAGGGCGTGCTTCGTCACGACCTGAACAAGGTGCGATTAGAGGTGCAGCCCGCTTATGACACTGACTTTCCAGTGTGGGAGATCTACCTGAGTGCCTTCCACAGCGCAGTGGCCCAGCGCCTACAGGAGCTTGCCCGCGACGCCCGTGGCTGTGAGCAGCTCTACGTGCTGCTGTACTGGGCTGCCAACGTGTATGGCAGGTGAGGCCTGAGCCAGGGCACCCAAGGCAGGCGTGGCTGACACTGCCCACGGGGAGGCCATGGGAAACTGCTTTTTTCTCGGTTCCTTCCCTTACAAAAGGCTGGCGATGGGGTGCCAGGAGGGCTGCGGACTTTGACATTCTTTTCTTTGTAAGTTAGACTGTGTTTCCAAACCAGGTTTTCCTAAGGAGCTACCCGTGTGCAGGGTCCCAAAGCTAGGAGGTCTCTGAGGGGAGCTTCCCACCAGAACTGGGAGCCCAGACAGAAGGGTGGTGTTAGCCCATGATGCATTGGAAAAGGAAGCATCAGAAAAGGCAGGCCACCAGCACAGTGCTCCCTCAGTGTGGGTTCCTGCCATTTCTCTTTGGATGTGAATTTACAAGCAGAGTGGGGGCTGCTAGAGACGTCCACCCCGGCTCTGTGCTGTGTGATGAGGGTGCTTTAGCTCCCCAGATGAATGGCCTCCAGCCCCACAGAGAGTACCTGGAGGGAGAAGGTTACCTGAAGTCCTGGCCTCCTTAAATTGCTGTGTGGTCTCGCCATTACCAGCCCCTCTGGAGCATCCTGGTGTGGGTTAGGTGGTTATGGGTCCCTGGAGTGCGTGTGTGTGTGTGTGTGTGTGTGTGTGTGTGTGTGTGTGTGTGTGTGTGTGGCTTAGAGCCCAGTCTTGGGTCTAGGGCATCCATGAGGGTCAAGGTCACACTGAGGCTGTCTGGCAGAGGTCCTCTGGACAGCTCCTTAAGCATTCTGAGCAGACCCAGCTGGTTGGTTGAGTGCCAAGAAGTCCAGCCGTCAGAAACTTCCTGGAAGAGAGGTGGTGGCATAGACCCTTGTGGAGTATGGGTGGAGTGTGTCAACAGGGAGTGCGTGTGTGTGTGTGTGTGTGTGTGTGTGTGTGTGTGTGTGTGTGTGTGTGGCTTAGAGCCCAGTCTTGGGTCTAGGGCATCCATGAGGGTCAAGGTCACACTGAGGCTGTCTGGCAGAGGTCCTCTGGACAGCTCCTTAAGCATTCTGAGCAGACCCAGCTGGTTGGTTGAGTGCCAAGAAGTCCAGCCGTCAGAAACTTCCTGGAAGAGAGGTGGTGGCATAGACCCTTGTGGAGTATGGGTGGAGTGTGTCAACAGAAATCCAAGTTCAGGGCCCTGAGTGATGGCTGTAGACTTTGAGCCTAGCTGGGGGGGTTGCGGGCAGGCAGCCACTGCAGCATCAGAGCTCTGCCCAGGCCCTCAGCAACTCCCTCACCTACCCTGCCTTTCAGTCCTGACCTCCTTGGTGCCCCAAATCAGGCCCTGCACACCGAACCGCTACCCCCACTCCTTGAGCCTGCCCTGTGGGCACAACTGGAGAGTGACTACATTAGCTTCCTAGAGGTAAGATGGGAGAGGCCAGGCTTGAAGGGGCTGGGTCCTTCATGAGGCTTAATGCCCGGGTTGTGTGGATACTGGCTTGCTTGCAGGCATGGCCTGATTGGTGACCAAAAGGGCAGGCGGTCCTTGAGAGAGCAGGATGGGGCTCAGAAGGCAGGGACACCTTCAGCTTTCTCCTGGAAGGGTCTCACCCGCAGCCCATGCTAACCCCCACAGACCAAGATCACAAGCTGCTTCGACAGTATCTTAGAGCTGGAGCAGAATCACTGGCTGGACGCTGAGGACCCAGAAGTGCTGCAGGGCCTCTACCGGGCATCGGTGTCCATCGATGTGCACATGGTGCGCCCGTGAGGGGGCAGAGGAGGGGGTGTGTTAGGCCTCAGAGCTATCATATACAGCCATAAACATCCCTCTGCATTAGATGGGAGCTTGATAACACTCCCCACCCCCATGGGCCAGATCAGGATGCCTGGGGCACATGGCCAGGATAAGTTCTGTGGTGGACTTGGGAGTGGGGAAGTTGACCCTCACACTGGGGCCACTGAAAGCTGCCAAGAGAGTCAGAAAAGGGTGGGCTGGGTCCCAGACTCCGACCCCTCTCAGCCTGTGGCACCCCTTGCAGCTGGTTGCTCAGCACGTGAAGGCAGCAGGCGCCATCTCTGCGGAGCTGGAGGCCACTACCCTGCAGATCTGCGCGCGGGCTCTCAGCCTCTTTGTGCCCAGGTACGTACGGGGTGCATTCCCGGCCAGGGATGGGAGGAAGGATGACGGCACCAGGCGTGAGTGGGGTCCAGTGGGCAGACTGAGCGTCAGACCACAGTGAAAGGGAGGGGCTTCATCACCAGACCTGGAGTCTGGGTGCGGACCCAAGGTGGGAGGAAAGCTTCTTTCCCGTCCCCAGGTTTGAAAAGGCTTTTCTGGAGTCCGAGGCGGTAAACGAGTGCTACCTGGGCGCCTACATTAACACCTGCGTGGAACTGAGGTAGGTCCCTCAGCTCCTTTGCATGGCGTTGCCCGGAATGGCCAGCAGGAGGCGGGCGCGCGAGCTCTGGAATCAGGATCCGAGGCCGCAGCTGCCAGTGCGCGCAGGATGGAGGGAGGCGTTTGGTCCTATCTCGGAGTTTGGATTCTTGCGGGTCCCATCGATTGTCCCTTCCCCTTCCTTGCCTTGCCATGCTCAGCAGAGCTAGGGTCCTGGAACGGATGCGGGTCTTGAAAGCAGAGCAAAGTCTCAGGAGTTGGGCGGCTAGGTCCCTGGGCTCCTTTTACTCCCTCCCACCATTCCATCTCCATCTTTTTCTGGGGACGCTGCCTCCTCGGAGGAGCTCCCTCCCTGAAACTCCACCCTAGGCAATCTTGGGCATGCTATGGCCGGTAGGGATTGCAACTGTGCCCTGACCTCCAGGCCACACTGGGGTGTCGTCCCAGTCCCTCAACTGCAGATGTGCTAGCCGGGGGAAGGCAGCCATCAACAGAGCGCATAGACTCTTGGTCACCTCATGGGTTCAGGTCCCATTGCTGCCAGTTGGTTGCAGTGTGCCCTGGGACATACCACTTCATCTCCATGTCTCTGTCATCCTCTAACAGAATCAGATCCTGCTTCCTGGGGCTGTGGGGACTCAGTCCACATGAGCTCTTCATGAGCACTTACACACACCAGGCTCTATACTCCAGCTTTATCCATCCCAGTGTGACTTCCCAAGGCCAGTGTACCCAGGTACAGATGGGCAAATGGAGGCTGGTGCAGCGCATAAGTCATGCAGCTAGGACTTGAACCAGTCCTGATTCCAAAGTGGGACCACCATGAGGTTCTGCTCTAGGTACTTTTTGCTTAACTGTAGCAGGCTGATTCTCATCACTGGGGAGTGAGGGATGAGGCAGCCATGTGGAGCGTTCTTCATCCCTTGATAAGCAGTGACACCTACCTTGCGCTATGTGCTTGGGCGGTGTACAGGATATAGCCTCGTCCTCAGTTTTCTCAACAATTCAATGGGAATGTTGTCATCTTCGGAGACACTGAAGGTCAGCGGAGAGTTGGTGCCAGGAATGACTATGCTCCATGAGGCATGGAGAGTTGTCCCAAACTGCCAGAGGGGGCCTCGTCCATGGAGCTCTGCTTTCACCCTGCTGCCTTGCCCTCTTCACGGTTGGCCGCCAAGGCCGTGGTACCTTCATGGCTGCTACTTTGTGCAGCTCCAGGGACTGCCCTTCATGAATGAATGGAGTCACTGAGGTGCCCAGCCTGTGGGGCTGTGCTGGGGCAGTGTTGGGACTTGCTCCCAAGCCTGCCTTCCCTGGTCCAGCTCATCGCTTATCCTGGCCCCTCCAGGACCAGTCTTCTGGCTAGGTTCCCAGGAACCATAAAAGAACTGGAGAAGCCCCTGGCGGCTGCCACCAGGAGCTTCCAGAAGCACTTGCTCCAGATTCTACAGCATGCCATGCAGGTGAATGAGACACTTTCCATGCCCAGTAGGTACCATCTTTACCCTGGAGCTGGCTGCCCAGGTTCCAGTATTCATTTGCCCCAAATGAATTCTCAACTGAGCAGGGGAAGTTGGAAAACACCTACCATCTCACTGCATCTCAGGGGTCAACACACAACCCCTGGGATGGTGGGGCCAAGGAATGAGAAGCAGGCCCTTTGCCCAGCCACTCAGGCTGTCTCCACTGCACACCCTAAACGGAACTTGGCAAGATACTTAAACCCAAACGATGCTCACTGGAGGAGGCACTCTGGGGAAGGCAGTGACATCACTTGTGGCTAGGAGAGAGGATGGCACAAGGGAAGCCAGTGGTGAAGGAGGTCAGAAACGGTTCACAGAGCTCACCCTACGCTCCTCTATCCTCAGCCACTATTTAAGGTTCTATACACCAAGAGCTGGTTGACACAGGACACACTGCAGCCCGTCATGGATAAGGTGGTGGACTTTGCACATCATCTTAAGCATGTGACCTTACCCCTTTCTCAGGTACCAAGAAGTGGGGTGGCTGGCACGGGTGTGCTCAGGGCCAATGCCTTTGATCCTGATTTGACCCTCACTCTCCCAGGAGACTCTGCATGAGGTGCACCGTGTGGTGGTCCGGGAGTACCTGGGGCAGGTGCTGAGGCCCCATGAAAGGTTCCGGGGCCAGCAGCGTGTGAATGCTGCCCATAAGATGAGCCAGGATGCCCAGGCCATTAGCAGCACCTTCCAGGGCTTGGTAGGAGCAGCGACTGCTAACCCTAGCAGCACTCCCCTCTGGCCGGCAAACCCTCCACTAGAGTCCTGTTCTCATGCCTTCTCATCCGGGAAATAGCCCTGAGGCCAGGTGCAGGAGCGAGTATCATAGGGGAGGTCTTTGACAGCAGGTCTTCAGAGGACCCTCGGAGGAAGAAGGCAGAGGGTTTAGACTTGGTAGTGCCCAAGTTGGGAGTATCACTTTGCATATAGTTACAGCTGAAGTTGAAGAATGAGGATTGCAATCCCCAGAGTGATGGGCAAGGCCTTTGGGGGGGGTGTTCTCCCCACTCCGGACCCAGAATCCTTTGACCCGTGCTCAAACTCCTTATCTGGGCTGCTGGGCTCCCACTGGTGAGAGATTTCCAGGCAGCACTTCCCGGCTCGGATTTCCTGTCTGCTCAGGCAGGAAGACATCTCTGTTGAATCTGGCCTTGCAGATGAGCCTGGGTTCCCAGTCCTCGGAGCATCCCGCTGTGGGCAAACCACATCCCGTGGGCAGGATGCAGCAAGGCACTAAAAGTGGGGTCGCAGGCAGAGACTCCCGGGAAAGTAGCCCGCAGCACACACACCCCTGTCTCCGCAGGGCTCTGAAGCCTCGTGGCTGGACCGAGCCATCCCGTGCGTGGCGGAGATCCTGGGTGAGACTTACAAAGACTACATCCCGCGGCACCTGGAGACGCTCATCCGGAGCTACCCGGACATCAGGTTCGCGGATGCCTCCTCCCCCAGTAGGTTCTGTTCGAGAGTCGGGTGACCAGGGCAGACACTGAAGAGTCCCGGTGGCTGGGGCGGGGGGGGGGTGGCGCTGAGAGCCGAGGGAGGAGCGAGCTCGGCTGGGGCGGAGAGAAGTGTCCAGGCACGAACCCAGTAGAGGTCCGAGTGCGCGGAGGGGGAGCGGGCCACTGTTCTCCACCGCCCCAGAACCGCGTGGACCCCTTCCGGAGGAGCAAACCCTCTCTGGAAGCCCCGAGATTCTCGAGGCTAGCAGGAAGGAGGCTGGGACCCCGGGCTGTGGGGGCCGCTGAGTCATCGGAGCCGGTGGAAATCCCTGTTCAACTTTCTCCCTGCGCTTGGAGATTCCGGGATGCAGAGGCCGCAGAAAGCCCCTGGCCCAGCCCCTTCCCTGGCTCCCCGCGGCCCCAGCCAGCCTGCTCTGCCAGTTTGGATGCGGGTGGCGGCGGACTGGCCCCCTCCTGAGGCTGGAGCGTTTCCCTCCCGCCCCTCGGAGTTCCCCAACCCGGGCTTGGCCCTCCTTCCCCCGCTCAAGGTCTCCGGAGAGGCGGTGGGATGGGCGCCCCTGCGCACTGGCCTTGCGCCAGGCCTCTACCTCCCTCCAGCTCTGCCAGTGTTTGAAATCCACCCTCTGTCTCAGACTCCTCCGGTGCCTCTGCAGACTCACACTCCGCTGTGTGCATGCCCCCTCCCCTGTCTCATGCCTGCACTTCTCCAGGTCCAGTTACTGTGCACCCCCCAGGTCCTCGCTCCTACTTCCTCTTAGAGTCCCCACCCCGTCCCGGCCTGGGATAGTCTCTGCCTCTCTGACCCAACTCCAAGAATACTGGGTGAATCATGCTTCCTCCCAAAGCCCGGGTTCCTGTCCCAAAGTGGGGCTGAGGGTACCAGGGGTGGCGCTCCTCGGCAGTGAGTGTCCGCATGTCTCTGCAGGCGTGACCACATACTGGCAATCCTGGCGCTGCGCAGACTTGGCCGCCGTCGGAACCGGAGCCTCTTGCAACGTGCCCAGGACCTGATGAAGGCAGTGGCCGGGGCTAAGCCCTCTCCAGATCGGGTGCTCTTTGAGGAGATAGCGGTGCCCACCTCTGTGAACCTGCTCATCGCCTGCATCTAGGGCTGGGTGGCAGGTGGGCGCGGTAGTGGGCAGAGAGCCTGTCAGCCTCCCCAGGACTGACCCCAGGTTAGGAGCTCAGTGAGTCACTCTGGCTCTACCCCCACCTCTGAAGCCGTGGAATTTTTTTTCCTCAGCCAAGCTCCCCTGCCCAGCCAGAGGGAGCCAAGGGTGAAGGCATTCCAGGCATTTGTGGGGGAGTCTTAGGGGAAGGCAGAGGCTCCATGCAGGACTTCCGCCAGGGAGGGCTTCCCTGTATAACTGTTAAGCATACCCCTAAGGTGGAGTAAAGAGCTGAGTATTTATTCTAAAAATAAACGTCAATTAAAATAGTGCTTCCCTAAGGGGGAGCAAGCTATTGTGGGGAAGGGTGGCCCGAAAATTCTGTGGTGACTCCTGCTGGTAGGAGGCTCCCTAGGCTGCCAGACCGGAGGGCTGAGATAGATCCAGAGCTAGGAAGACTCCAGCCTGTGGCTGCAGAGCAAAACAGGCCTTCACCTGGAGGCTGGGTTCACTAGCCTCAGGTGCCAAGCCAACCTTGCCCTTGCTCTGCCCCATCCTAGGCAGGTCTGAATTCCTCACGGGGGAGTTTAGCAACATGAGGTATTTGGATTACATGTAGGAGGGACTTCCCGGCAATGAAAGTTGTCAAGTTACATGAGGGGGGGCACCCATTGGGTGTTGGGGTAACTACGCAGTCTTCGTCCATGGGGACACTTCCAGGAGGCTGTACCACTGTGGACCTGCACTCCAGATTTGTGCTGAAATTTGTCTATAGCCTCAGGGCAAGGCTAGGGACCCATGTGCATGGGTACCTTCAGTTTCCAGGGAAGCTGAGAGCTGCCCCCCCGCCCCACTGTTCCCCAGCAAGCTGCCATTCCCTCTGGACCTGACCCTGACGCTGGTTGGCATGGGGTCAGATAATTGCAGGTGGACTGGGATACCAGAAGCCCAATGAAGTTTCTTCCCTAAAGTATAGGACGAGGGTACGAGGTGAATCAGTGATTCCAGCTCTCCCTGGTCCCTCTCCCTGTGCTATGGATACCCAGGGGGCAATGCGAAGGTCCATCTGCCCCTTCTCCTGGTACTGGGGATGTGGAGCACAGAGCCACATCTGAGTCTTCTGGGGGTCCTGGGCTGAGTATTGAAGATCCTTGGTCCCCTCTGGAAGCAGGTGTCAGGGGCAGTGTATACCCCTCCCCCCCAGTGTATGTGGGCTGGAGGTCAGGGACAGGGCAGCACTCATGGGGAATATCCAGATCTCCCCAGGGAGGAGGGGTAGGCAGGGCAGGAATGAGGAAGTACCACTGTTGAGGTTCCCAGGCTCCAAGGCTAGAGGTGAGGGTGGGGAGGTGAGGGGTATCAGTGGAGAAACTGAGGCCAACAGAGGGCAAGGCATCTTGAAACCTTATAACCTTAGGTTCAGGGTGTGAGGGGGCACCTCTATCACTAGGGGAGGGGTCAAGGGAGAAGTGGGTGATTTATTAACCAAACCTCCCTGCCTGATACCACATGTCCCCGAAGTGGCCATCAGTGTTCTGCTGAAGTGAAGACAGGGTTTTGAGGGGGTCATAAGAACCCTCATCTGCCCTGGTCCTAGCCATGATCTCCTCAGAGACCCCTTACTTCTCACCCCACTTGTGTGTCCATTAGGGCTCTATCCTGGATGTTCTGCCCCCACTAAGCCTTGTGGGTTTCCTAGCCAGGCTGGGAGAAAAGAGAAGTTTGGTCCTGGCTCTACCACTGTCCAGCCAAGAGTCTATGGTCAAGTTCCTATACCCGTCTGTGCCTCAGTGTTTCCAGCTGTGAAGTAATCACGCTGTGAATGAATGCACAAGCTAGGAGGGTAGAATAAGGCCCTCGGCCCTCCCCATGACCCCATGTCCCAGAGTGCAGCCAGACCGTGTTCTGCAAGACAATATTAGGTGGTCCTGAGTGCGGCTGTGGGAGAACCTTGAGTGTCTGGTAAAGCACTAGGTGAATGGTGTCACTGGTTAGGGAAGATCCCCAAGAGGTTGGAAAGATGTATCTAAGGCTGAGCAACCTAGAGCCAACCAAAGTTTCACACAACTGGGGAAGGACTTGGACCTAGACCTTCTTAGAGGCTCAGGACTTCTTCCTGAGGATTTCTAGACCTGGAGACAGGAAGCCAGGGTTTCCTGGCAGAAACCATGTGCACATGATGATACTTGTACCTCTTGCAAGGAACATCGGTGTGTGGCTGTGTGCACATTCCTCATTCTTGTGAACCTGGCAGTTGCTGGGGTTGGGGCTGTCTTCCCAGGGATTAGTCAGGGAAAGCTGGAAGCCAAGGGTACAGTTAGGGAGACTAGGGACAGAGAGCAGGTTAAGACGGGGAACTCTGAAGCTCGGTGTGGTGGCGCACGCCTATAGTCCCAGCACTTGGGAGGCAGAGGCAGGCAGATCTCTGTGAGTTCAAGGCCAGCCTGGTCTACATAGTGAGTTCTAGGACAGCTGGGGCTACAGGGAGACCTGTCTCAAAATGACCAAAAAAAACAAAACAAACAAAAAAAAAACTCCAAGCTACCTCAGGTCTAGGCTCATTTTACCCTGAGGGAGAGATGCAGCTTGGGAGCCTCCCATCCCCTTTACCCCTAAAAGACTGCCTAGGATGTTTCCTTGGTCATACTCCTGTCTGGGTCAAGCTTGAGGGGACAGGAACCGATTCTTAAACTATCTTGGGACTTGTTGACCAGTTGTCTGACTGTGTGCTGTGGGATTTACTAGCCCCTGTCAATGCCTCCAACTTGTAACCCAAGATGGAGCCTGTGCCCAGCCTCCCAAGACAGCCTAGGACTGTCCTATTTGCTCCTCGAGCTCAAAGCCCAGCTCTTGCTAGATCTTCCCTGGTCCCCAGCTGGCCTCCTTGCTGCCATGTTCCTCCCTCTTCATAATTCAGCTGGTTTCCCACAAGGCCTTCTATGAACATCTCTCCTTCCCAGTCCCCCGGGCTCAGGTCCAGCTCACTTCAGTGCTTTGCTGGAACATTCATGAGACTGGGGAACATGGGCCTATTGTCTGAGTCCTGCCCTCTCCAGCTGGTGACCTGGGGTCCCTTTCCTTTCTGAGGTTCAGTCCCTGTGTCTATAACACAGGAAGGAGTGCCCAGTAGAGAGGGAACTTGGGGGCAAGTCGGGCTGTCCACAGAGGCCCTAGTGTGAAGGTACTTTGGGCGGCAGTTGGCCTCTCACCTTTGTGCCTTCCCAACCTCTCCCTCTTCCTTCCTGCTGACCCTGGCTCCTTCCTTCCTGGCCCCAGGCCTCAGCAAGCAAAATTCTTGGAGGGGCACCCTCAGTAGCTGTGAGGTGCTTCCTGCAGAGCCCTTCACTACTGACCAGGTGTGGGGTGGGTGGGAAGCAACAGGGTCTGAAGACTCCATTCCCAATCTCACTTCCTGTGTGGACACATACACCAAAACAAAAATGAAACAAAACCACAAAACAAACCCTTGGGAACTACAGCAGGTCTCTGCAGTCTTCCACCATCCGTCATTAGGGAGGGACAGGACTGGCCTGCCTTGCAGACATTGCCTTCTAACTAATCTGAGCAGAAGGCTGGGCAGGGTCTGTACTGGCCACTGGGATAAACAAACAAACAAACAAAACAAATAAACTACTGCAGGTGCTAACAAGCTGATCCCACAGAGCTCCAGGGCTTGGGGCCTTATAGGGATGACTGGAGGTGGGGGATGGGGGTGGTCAGGGGCTCAGCCCAGCCTCCTGGGTCCCATTATCTTCTGAAACTCAAGAAGGGGATGGAAATGACATCACGCCTACCCTCAGTTCACTCTGTTCCTGGGCCCTATGGGGCCTGGACCAGTGGTTGTGATGGCCCTTCCTCCTAGGGACATCCTTTTGCCTGTTTACAGACAGACCCACCACCTACTCATCATTTAAAACATTTGTCAAGTGTCTTCATTTCTTAAATTTGAGACAGGGCCTCATTTATGTACCCCTGGCTAGTCTGAAACTTGCTATATAGACTAGGCTGGACTTGAACTTAAAAATAACCACCTGCCTCTGCCTCCTGAGTGTTGGGATTAAAGAAAGATGTGTGCCATCATATCCAGCAAGTGTTTTCATTTTCAATGTTAGTAATGTTTTGGGTAGTACTATATTCATGTAGGTCAAAAATTAAAAGATATTTAAAGATACATGATTCTAAAATCTATGTGGTTCAGTTGGCAGAGTCCTTGGCTAGCACCCACAAAGCCAATTTCTAGGGTTCAATTTCTAGCACCACATAAACAGGGCAGAGTGGTGTGTGACTGTAACCCAAGCACTCTTAAGGTAAAGGTTAGGAAGATCAAGGAGTTCAAGGTCATCTGTGAGAGAACCAGCCCAAGATACAGCCTACCTATAAATAAAAATAAATTTTAAAAAGTCTTTTCATCACTTCTTGGCTTACAGCAGTGATGCTTAACCAAGGAATGTGACTGACAGGTGACATTTTTGGCATCACCGAGGAGCCTGATTCTGCTAGAGGTCATTGGACTGGAGAATAGGATGATCTAAGCATCAAGCCATTGAGGATTCCCAGGCTCTCAATGCAACTTCAGGGTGCTGGGAATGAGAAATGTCAAGGGTGTCCTGCTGTCTCTGGGGTACCCACACATGTGCCATGATTCTTGCCTTCCGGTTTTCCTGTGGAGTCACTCGGTAGTTAAGTTCAGCCTTTAGATGCAGCTAACCTGGGTAGGAATCCCAGTTCTTCAGCTTCCTAGCTATGTGACTCTGGGCTCTGTCTTCCTGGGAGCACTGGGGCTGGAGAGAGGACTCAGTGGTTAAAAGCACTGGCTGCTCTTGCAGAAGACCTGGCGTTGGTTCCCAGCACCCACATGGTAGCTAACAAATGTTAACTCCAGTTCCAGGGGATCTGACAACCTCTTCTGACCTCTATGGGCACTGTACAACACAGGCACACTTGCATGCATGTAGGCAATATACTCATACACATAAAATAAAAATATTTTTTAAATTGTGAGCGTTACAGAGAAAATGTGAGTGCTATTGAGTCTGTGAAGCAATCTCCAGCCTGTAGCAGTTATTTCTCTGCACTGTCTTTTTCAAGCCACACTGCAGACCCTTTGAAAAGTCAGCTCCTTTCTCTGGAACCCTGAGGGCATTGAAAGCCACAGATGCAGGTGATGGAGCTCCCCAGGGCCCAGATGGTCCCCAAGGGCCGAGCCCCCTTCATGATGCCTCTAGGCACTCCTGGTTGTCAGGCAGGCAATGGAGGAGAAATACCCACAGCCTTGCATCAGGCTTGCCTTCCACCCTGGCCAGCTCTTTGAGGCCTGGATTCCCTGAATAG